AAGGAGGAAATACTAAATATTGATATGTATTAATTCCGAATATAAAATAAAATCTACTGCAATCTTAATAAAAAAAATTTTATTGCTAAAATAAAACCGTGCAATACTTTTGATACCCCCCAGTATATTAAGTAAAATTAATTGACGTCATTAAATTAATCTGATTTATTATAGTTTATTAATTAATAATAAATATGATTCATTATATTGATTAATAATCTATATAGGTGATATTTTATTAAAATTGAGATACAAGACATAATATATCATATGATCTGTACCTCAATTTTAATAGATAAATATCCATATGATTTATTATCTAATCTAATAGTAAAATTAATGAAAAGTCAAAAAAAAAGTTATATTTTTTAAAATCTGTTTTTTAAAATTATGTTTTTTGATATTATTATTATTAAAATTAAAATTTATTATTTTAAATAAAATGAAATTAATTAATTTAAATAAATATAAAAATGTTAATAAATGAATAATAAATAATTAATTAATTAATGAATTCAAATCTTTAATGAAATCCTAATCTAAACTCAATAAAATCCTGATAAAACCTTTTTAAAAAACTAATTCTAATCAAATTAATCTATTTAATCGATTTGATTAATTTGATTGATCTAATTAATCAAATTATATTTTCATTTAATCAGAATTTTTTATTTTTTATTTTTTATTAAAATTTTTCTAAAATAATAGATAGTGGTGAAGGAAAAACTTTTAAAAGCGAATAAGAATCCTTTCTTCTATAAAATATTAATGATCATGAAGATGATAATTCTAAGATCATAAAATCAACAAAAATGGTTAAAATTACTTCAACCAATAAATTTTCTGAAATATGATAATATTTTAATAAAGATGCTAAAATAAATAATGGTCATTATTAAGCGATTTTTTTTCATTGTAATAAAATATATTTAAGAGGTAAACTAGCAACTATGAAATCTTATTTAGCAAATGAATGCTTACAATATTTTTAAGAAATTTGTTCCTATTGGCAAAATAAAATAGCATTCTATGTGATTAATTATACATATTCATCACTATCAACAAAATTTTCAGATAAAAAATTATCGCTTATATTTTCTTTCAACTAAATCATTATCTAATTTAATTATTAATTGAATAGATAAATCATTAATTAAAGTATAAATAATGGGAGGATTGCTATTTGAAGTGATCAAAAATCTATTTATCATTAATTTATTTAAAGAATTAAATTCTTTATATAATTTTTCATCTTGTATAATACTTTTTGGTTGAATTCTTAATGAGAAATTAGCTCGTATAAATATAGCAATTTATCAAGGTTTAGATAAAGAAGAAAATTTAATATTAAATAGGTAATAAATAAGTTTTATTTAAATTATTAATCTAATAAAATATTAATAATAATTTATTTATATTATTTATTAGCATTTGATGGGTGGAGTACAAAAAAATGGATTCCTTTTATAATTATATTATAATAACTTCGACTAGAAAAAAATATCTAATTGCACTATATAACTATTCTAAAGATTTATATAAGGGTGATTTTTTAGCAAAAGAAATATTTGATATTATAGAAAGTATTAGAAGTGAAAAGTTTGCAGTAATAGTAACTGATGATACTGAAAATTGTAAAGTTGCACATGAAATAACACAACAAATATATGAACATATTTGAAATATTCAATGTGCAGTATATGCATTTGATTTGATTGCAGCTGATTTTATACAACTTGAAAAAATTAAAGAATATATTGCTAATTGCAATAAGATATGTGGATTTTTCAAATATTTACATATTACAAATTCGTTATTTCATTAAGGTTTAGTAGATATGAAAATTAAAGGTGATAGATTACAAACATAGTGTAAACATGTTAGGAATCGCTTTTTCTTACAACAGTTTCTATTTTACGTGAATGTCCTATATTTGATTAGGTATAAAAAATTTTTTTTATATTATAACCTCTTTTCTTTTTTATATTCATTCTAATTTTATAATTTTTTAGTTATTAGCTAAACATTCTGACATAATCACTAATATTGAAGTTTTTTCTTTATTAAATAATTATGAATTTTTCTCTACTTGTCAAACAGTACAATTAATTTAAAAACTAATAAAAAATGTATAAATATAGTAGAAGCAAAAACTATAACATTAGCTGATTATTTTATATATTTAATTCAATTAACAGTTGCTATTAATTGCCTTCCTTTATCAAATCAATTTAAATGTTATATTATAATAATTTTTAATCATTAGTTTATTGAATTTTAACATTCATTATATTTACTTTATTATTTTTCTCATCTACTTTATTGAGGTAAGTTTATTTTTATATTAAATAATATTTTAAAATATATATTTTTTAAATATAATTGATTTCTTTTATAAAAATAAGATAAAGGATTATAAAACAATAGTTTTCATGATATAACTTTAACTGCAATATAACTTTAGCAAGATTTTAAACATTCAGAATCAGAAGAATAAGAACTTTTAGGACAACTTCATCTTTATAAAGCTAAATGTCTTCCTTTTAATTTAGCATATATTCTAGATATTGATACTTCTGAAGTATGATAGGGATCTATAAAAAAAACTAAGGCATTTAGCTGAACTTGCATATAGATTATTTTCTATTTCTCCAAGTCAAGTAGCATATGAATGATTATTTTCAATTTTTAAATAGATGATGGGAGATCGATATACTAATATCAATATAACAAGATTAAAAGCAATAACTAAAATTTGTTCCTTCTATATGACGCATATCAAAAAAGAATTAAATTATTATAGAAAGGAATTAACTGAATCAGATTTACTTGAATACTCAAATGGGAGGCGGTCAGTAGAAAAGGGGGAAATCCAAATTTTGGTCAAAATTTTTTTAATTAGTTCACTTCACTGATCATAGTCATGTGAACAAAATTAGCTTAGTAACTAAAATTACTAAAATTTTCAGATTTCCCCCTTTTCTACTGACCACCTCCCAAATATTTCATCAGTTACAAATATTTTAGATTTTGAAAAATTAGAGTATAATAATAATGATCATGAAATGGAACCTATTTTACCATCACATGATTTAAAAATTAATGAGATAATTGATTTGACAAATTTTGATGCTGAAATAGATATCAATACAAATGAAGATTTACAACAAAATTATTTGAAACCAGTTGATCCAATAAATTTGAATTATGACACACAAAGCTTATTAAATTCTTTTTTTAAATGAAGAAAACTTAGAAAATTCAATTAGTAGATAATAAGTTTAAAAAAAAACTTATTTTATAGGTTTTTTTTAGAGAGTAAAATTTTTCTTTATAATGAAAAAATTAGATTTTGATTATTCTTTTTAGGATATTCTGAACTATTTCAGAAAATAGTTTTTTTTGGCAAAATAAGGTTTAATTTTTTTTGTAAACAAATAAAATATATTGATATTATTGTTAATGAGTTTATTGATTTTATTAGAATTTTATAAGGGTTTTATTAGGGTTTTATTAAGATTTACATATATTAAGAAATAATTTTAAAGACTTTTACAAAAATTCTAAATGTAAAATATCAAATGTCACGTCTAATTTTACATATCATGATATAATGTCATGTTTAATTTTACATATAACATTAATGTCACGTCTAATTTTACATATTACATCATAATGTCACGTCTAATGACATGTGTTACGTCAAATATCATGTCAAATGTCATATGTTATGTTCAATATTATGTGGTAAGGCATATGTATAGGTAATATCATTACATTTGACGTTAAAGTAGTTACTTTAAAAAATTTTAAAGTCTGCATCTTTAGTAGTAGAAATAGAGGTAACAGCAACTTTATTTGTGATAACTTTGGGGGTAGTAGCAACTTTATTTGCAGCAACTTTAGAGATAGCAGCAATATTAGTGATAGTAATGGTGGCAACAGCAATTTTGGGATTCTATAAGAAATTGAAATAAGGAAATGATATGTTTTTTATAAGGTTTGTATATGTAATTGATGATTCTGTATCATAATTCTATATGTTTTATAATGATTTATTTTTTTATAATTTTTTAGAAAATTGATGTATACAGAATTATTAAGGAATTTGAAAT